AGTGCCGTTACCTTCCCGCCGGAGCGGTACCTATTGATCTACTCACATTTGCATGTTTTCGAACTGCTAGGTTGGCAGAAGCTAGGGCTGACAGCAGAAGCTCACGCCGCTCCCCGGAATCGAACCTGCGACCTTTCGATCAACAAGCTCAGCAGCTCAGTGCTTTAACCCACTGCGCCACAGGGGCTCCTATAGTCAGTGTAAATTCATAGAAGATCCAGCCCATTTTAGTAATCTTTTGCGCTAGCTCCACTGGCTGACAGTCTACTACTGGGCACAATTCAAAGTGGTGGCTTTAGCCTATAAAGCCCTAAATGGTTCTGGCCCAATTTACCTGTCTGAACGCATCTCTCCTTCTGAACCATCTAGGACTTTAAGCTTGTCTAGGGAGGCCCTGCTCTCGATCCCACCCTCATCACAAGTACGTTTGGCGGGGACAAGAGACAGGGCCTTCTCTGTGGTGGCCCCTTGGCTATGGAACGCCCTCTTAACATTTCAGAGACAAGTTGTTGTTGTTCATTCGTTCAGTCGTCTCCGACTCTTCGTGACCTCATGGACCAGCCCACGCCAGAGCTCCCTGTCGGCCGTCACCACCCCCAACTCCTTCAAGGTCAGTCCAGTCACTTCAAGGATGCCATCCATCCATCTTGCCCTTGGTCGGCCCCTCTTCCTTTTACCTTCCACTTTCCCCAGCATCATTGTCTTCTCTAGGCTTTGCTGTCTCCTCATGATGTGGCCAAGTACTTCAACTTTGTCTCTAGTATCCTTCCCTCCAGTGAGCAGCCGGGCTTTATTTCCTGGAGGATGGACTGGTTGGATCTTCTCGCAGTCCAAGGCACTCTCAGAACTTTCCTCCAACACCACAGCTCAAAAGCATCGATCTTCCTTCGCTCAGCCTTCCCTAAGGTCCAGCTCTCACATCCGTAGGTGACTACAGGGGATACCATGGCTTTGACTAGGCGGATCTTTGTTGCCAGTCTGATGTCTCTACTCTTTACTATTTTATCGAGACCGGACATTGCTCTCGTCCCAAGAAGTAAGCGTCTTCTGATTTCCTGGCCACAGTCTGCATCTGCAGTAATCTTAATTTTTCTACAAGTTAATACATGGTTATTTTGTGATGGTCATGGGGGTTCTGTGTAGGAAGTTTGCCCCGATTCTGTCATTCATGGGCTTCAGAATGCTCTCTGGTAGTAGGTGAACTATAAATCCCAGTGACTACAACTCCCAAATGTCAAGGTCAATTTTCCCCAAACTCCATCTGTGTTCATATTTGGGCGTATTGAGTGCTTGTGCCAAGTTTGGTCCAGATCCATCATTGTTTGAGTCCACAGTGCTCTCTGGATGTAAGTGAACTACAACTCCCAAACTCAAGGTCAATGCCCACCAAACCCTTCCAGTATTTTCTGTTGGTCATGGGAGTTCTGTGTGCCAAGTTTGGTTCAATTCCATCGTTGATGGAGTTCAGAATGCTCTTTGGTTGTAGGTGAACTATAAATCCCAGCAACTACAACTCCCAAATGACAAAATCATAATTTTTTGAGTGATGGTCACTCCTTGTGTTGTGAGACGTTTTGTTGCCAAATTTGGTGTGATGTCATTCATTAGTTCTTTTGTTTTTAAGGTACTCATTATGCACAGAGCATTTTTATATAGATAGATTGATTCACAGACCGTAGTCACTCAGTTTAGGTCCAGATAGTGCAGTTTGAATGTATCAGTGTTGATTACAGAGTCTCAGCTTGGCATTGTCAGTGGAGCTTCATATAAGGCAGCACTTGTATGGATCCACATTGGATATTATGTGGCAGTGTAGACCCAGCTCAAGCGGGGCAAACTCAGGAGAAATCATTTTCTTCTATTTTTTTCTGTTTGTTTATTTTATGTGTTGTTTTTAGGCACTTTGTGTCATATGTAAGCTGCCTGTGTCCCTTCGGGATATGGAGGCAGGGTACAAAAATAAAATAAAATAAAATAATAATAATAATAATAATAATAATTATTATTATTATTATTATTATTATTATTTGAAACACAACAAGATGAGTCCACAGCAGACACTCTGCTGGCTGTTGAATTGGATCACATGTTGGACACTTCCCAAGTGTCTAGGAATAAAAAGGGAGTGGAAGGAAGGAAAGAGGAAGAGAAGGAAGGAAGGAAGGAAAAAAAGGAAAGAAGGAGGGAGGGATGGAAGGAAGGAAAGGAGAGAAAGAAAAGGGAGGAAGGAAGGAAGGAAGGAAAAGGAAGGAAGGAAGGGGAAAGAGGGAGGGAGGGAGGGAGGAAGAAAGAGAGAAAGAAAAAAGGGAGGAAGGAAGGAGAAGGAAGGAGAAAGAAGGAAAAGGGAAGGAGGAAAAAAGGAAGGAAGGAAGAGAGGGAGGAGGAAGGAAGAAAGAAAGAAAAAGGGAGGGGAAGGAAAGAAAGAGGTAGAGAAGGAAGGAAGGAAAAAGGAAGGAAGAAGAAGGAAGGAAAAAGAGAAAGAGGAGAGAAGGAAGGAAGGAAGGAAGGAAGGAAGGAAAAGGAAGGAAGGAAGGAGAGAAAAAGGGAGGGAAGGGAAAGAGAGAGAAAAGGAAAGAAGGAAGGAAGGGAAGAGGGAGGGAGGGATGGAGGGAAGGAAGAAGGAGAGAAGGAAAAAGGAGGGGAAGGAAAGGAAGGGAGGAGAAGGAAGGAAGGAAAAGGGAGGAAGGAAGGAAGAGGGAGGAGGAAGAGGAGAGAGAAAAAGGGAGGGGAAGGAAGGAAGAGAGAGAGGGAAAGGAAGGAAGGAAGGAAGGAGAAGGAAGAAAGGAAAGAAGAAAAAGGAAGGGAAGGGGAAAAAAAGAAGGAAGGAAGGAAAAAAAAGGGAAAGAAGGAAAAAAAGGGAAGGAAGGAGAAAAGGACCCAGCTATCATACTATCACTGAAAGGAGAGAAAGAGGAAGGAAAGGTTGGGCACAGCAACACGTGGCGGGTACAGCTAGTGTGTGTGTGTGCGCGCGCGCACGCGTATAGATAGATAGATAGATAGATAGATAGATGTATCAGCGGTTCAAAACCCCTCCCCAAATGTTCAGGGGATGGATATAGATATTGGAATTCCAGGTCTCGGCGGTGGCCGGGAGAGCTTTTGCACAATTAAAACTTGTGCGCCAGCTGTGCCCATACCTTGGGGAGTCAGATCTGGCCATGGTGGTCCACGCTCTTGTTACATCCCTATTAGATTACTGCAACGCACTCTACGTCAGAAACTCCAACTAGTCCAGCAGGAGGCAGCCAGATTGCTCACTGGAGCATCATACAGGGAGCATACCACCCCCCTGTTGTGTCAGCTCCACTGGCTGCCAATCCAGTTCCGAGCACAATTCAAAGTGCTGGTTTTGACCTACAAAATCCTATACGGTGTATCTGTCCGAATGGATCTCCCTCTATGTCCCACCCCAGAGGCCCTGCTCTCGGCCCCGCCTCTATCACAAGTGAAGTTGGCAGGGACAAGGAGCAGGGCCTTCTCGGTGGTGGCCCCCCACCTGTGGCATTCACTCCCCGGGGAAATTAGATCAGCGACATCACTCCTTTCCTTTAGGAAAAAAACTGAAAACATGGATTTAGGACCAGGCCTTTGGACAATCGCGCAGATAAAGAAAGGACTTTGACAATGGTCAGGAAATGACTAATGGAATGGAACTATGGAACTCTGAAAGACGAAACGCTGAGCATGAGAATAGTTTTTATATGATGTGTTGTATACTGATTGTTTTGATTGTTTTAACTGTGATAATTGTTTTAACTATGGTTTTGTACATTATGTGTAATTTTGTATAGGCATCGAATTGTGCCTTTTGTAAGCCGCCCTGAGTCCCCCGTCGGGGGTTGAGAAAGGCAGGGTAAAAGTACCCTAAATAAATAAATAATAAATAAATAAAATTGATATTGATATCCTGAACATACAGGGGCGGCTCGTCCATTACGCGAAGTAAGCAGTCGCAGAACACTTTTTTTTGCCAGGGGCGCAGAGGTGCCTCTGTAAATGCCCCTCGACTGCCACTTGAGGAATACCCCCTCAGCTCACAACAGTCCGAGCAGTCCGGGGGGAGCCTTGGCTTTCTTGCCTCACTCCCGGGCGACCCTCTTCCCAAAGGGGCCGGGCTCTTGAGCCTCGCCTAGCCCCTCTCGTTCCTGCTCCACCCGGCCACTGGGTGCGCGAGCAGAGCCGGCGCTCAATCGTTCTCCGCGTTCGATCCCTTCCCCATGACCGGCTCCCTTTCCCGATCCCCCAGTGCTCCACCCGCCTCCTCTCCTCTCCCCAATCCGCGGGTGGGCCAAGGGGCAGAGCCGCCGCGTCTGGCCCGCTTTGGGTCCGGAGGCGTGTCTGAAGACCCCAGCGTGCGCACCAAAAGTCGCCTCTTCTCCTGACTTTCTCTTCAGCCATTGGGACCAAGAGAGAGAGAGAGCCCCTCCGGCTGGAGGTATCTCCCACCTCCGCTCCCTCCTTTGTTTTTGCGCCTACCTTCAGGAAAGTGGGCATCTCCACCTCTCTCTCTCTTGGTCCCAATGGCTGAGGAGAAAGTCAGGAGAAGAGGTGACTTTTGGTGCACACGCCGGGGTCTTCAGGCACACCTCGACCCAAAGCGGGCCAGGCCAGGCAAGGGAGCAAGTGTAGTTACTGGGATGTATAGTTCACCTACAATCAAAGAGCATTCTGAACTCCACCAATGATGGAATTGAACCAAATATGGCACACAGAACTCCCACGACGAACAGAAAATATATATCAATGATTGGTTTGGGGGGGGGGGGGCGCCAAAATACTGTTTGCTTACCGTTGAAAATTACCTAGGGCCACCTCTGTGAACATATATAAACCTGAAAATTTGGGGAGGGGGTTTGAACCCTTCCCCCGCCTCCTTGGCGACAGGCTTGGGCGGAATCCGGATTGGGGGAGTGCGTCCCTTCTGAGATGAATGGGGCGTGACAGTTTAACCCCTTGGGCTCCTTGGCTGCTTCCTTCGACGGGGAGGGAGTAGAAGAGGGGCGGGAAAAGCTGGAAAGTTGGTCCTCCTTGACTCTGGAAGGGCCCCTCCTTCCCAAATGAGTTTGGGAAGAGGGAGGGAAGGAGGGAGGGAAGGAAGATGAGCTCCGCCGACCTCCAGCAACAGGATCCTCGAGCCCCTCGCCCGCCTTGGTCCCGAGAGATGGCCGTCTATTGCAGCGAAGCGTTCAGCGTCTATCCCCCCAGCACAGCGCCGGCAAACTACGAGTACCCGCAGCCGCCGGGTGCCGCCAGCTATTTGTGGGGTGCCTACTCGCAAGGGAGCGGGGCCAGCGGGGCTGGCGGAGGGGCATCTCCGGGGGCGCCTTTCCTCCCCTACGGCTGCTCCCCGAGGGGAGTGGGGGCGCCTCCTTTGCTCAACGCAACAGGCTCAGCCTCGTCGTCGGGTGGCTCATCCTCGTCCTCGTCGTCGCCTCCGGAGCTGGGCTGGCTGAGCCTGGCGAGCCAGGAGGAGCTGCTCCGCCTGGTGCGCCCGCCGTACTCCTACTCGGCGCTGATCGCCATGGCCATCCAGAGCGCGCCGGAGCGCAAGCTGACCCTCAGCCACATCTACCAGTACGTGGCCGAGAACTTCCCCTTCTACAAGCGAAGCAAGGCCGGCTGGCAGAACTCCATCCGGCACAACCTCTCCCTCAACGACTGCTTTCGGAAGGTGCCCCGCGACGAGGACGACCCTGGTGGGTGAGCCGGACCCGAGGGAGAGCAGGGCAGGGAGGCAGGGAGGGGGATCTCCACACCTTATATATAGTGAGCCCTTAGGACCCGCTGGAGGTTGCTCCCAGCATCCCTACTGCTGGACTTGGAGTCTACTCAATGCTTAGACCAGGTATAGGCAAACTTCAGCCTTTCAGGTGTTTTGGACTCCAATTCCCATATATAGTGAGCCCTTAGGACCCGCTGGAGGTTGCTCCCAGCATCCCTACTGCTGGACTTGGAGTCTACTCAATGCTTTAGACCAGGTATAGGCAAACTTCAGCCTTTCAGGTGTTTTGGACTCCAATTCCCATATATAGTGAGCCCTTAGGACCCGCTGGAGGTTGCTCCCAGCATCCCTACTGCTGGAGTTGGAGTCTACTCAATGTTTAGACCAGACATGGGCAAACTTCAGCCTTTCAGGTGTTTTGGACTCCAATTCCCATATATAGTGAGCCCTTAGGACCCGCTGGAGGTTGCTCCCAGCATCCCTACTGCTGGAGTTGGAGTCTACTCAATGTTTTGACCAGGTATAAGCAAACTTCAGCCTTTCAGGTGTTTTGGACTCCAATTCCCATATATAGTGAGCCCTTAGGACCCGCTGGAGGTTGCTCCCAGCATCCCTACTGCTGGACTTGGAGTCTACTCAATGTTTAGACCAGGTATAGGCAAACTGCAGCCTTTCAGGTGTTTTGGACTCCAATTCCTATATATAGTGAGCCCTTAGGACCCGCTGGAGGTTGCTCCCAGCATCCCTACTGCTGGACTTGGAGTCTACTCAATGCTTAGACCAGGTATAGGCAAACTTCAGCCTTTCAGGTGTTTTGGACTCCAACTCCCACCATTCCTGACAGCCTCAGGCCCTTCCTTTCCCCCTCAGCCACTTAAGCTGAAAAGGGCCTGAGGCTGTCAGGAATGGTGGGAGTTGGAGTCCAAAACACCTGCAAGGCTGAAGTTTGGCTATACCTTGTCTAAGCATTGAGTAGACTCCAAGTCCAGCAGTAGGATGTTGGGAGCAACCTCCAGCGGGTCCTAAGGGCTCACTATATATGGGAATTGGAGTCCAAAATACCTGAAAGGCTGAAGTTTTCCTGTACCTGGCTTAGACTATAGGTCTTTCACATATAGGACAAACAAACAAATACAGACAAACCAGATTATACAACACAACACAAAACACATCATTAAAATGCTATACCAATGATTAAAAATGCTACCTACATTGATGAGATGCCCCCTTAAAATAATATTTATTTATTTATTTGGTAGTTTTGTATACCGGTCTTCTCACCTCCATTCGAGGGACTCGGGCCGGTTTCCAACATCAATATTACAGACCGTCATTAAAACATCATATTTCTAAATCACACTAAAACATTAAAACATTGAAACAATTAAAATGGCAAAAATACAATCATATGATTACAGTGGTCAGTCGTCATCAAAGTCATTATTTGTCGTCATCCATCCATATCACAGGATCATGGCTCATTCGTTGAATGCCAATCCCCAAAGCCAGGTTTTCACCTGTTTCCTGAACGTTAAGATCAAAGGGGCAGTTCTGATCTCCAGTGGAAGGGAGTTCCAGAGTCGAGGGGCCACCACCGAGAAGGCCCTGTCTCTCGTCCCCACCAGCCGCGCCTGTGAGGCCGGTGGGATCGAGAGCAGGGCCCCTCCAGACGATCTTAGCAACGATGGTTCATAGGGGAGATGCGTTCGGACAGGTAAATTGGGCCGGGGCCGTTTAGCGCTTTATAGGCCAAAGCCAGCACTTTGAATTGTGCCCAGTAGCAAACGTGGCAGCCAGTGGAGCTGGCACAACTGAGGAGTAGTATGCTCTCTGTACCCCGCTCCCGTTAGTAACCTGGCTGCTGCACGTTGGACTAATTGAAGCTTCCGGGCAGTCTTCAGAGGCAACCCCACGTAGAGAGCGTTGTAGTAATCTAAACGGGATGTAACCAAAGCGTGGACCACCGTGGCCAAGTCAGACTTCCCAAGGTACGGGCGCAGCTGGCACTCCAGGCTCAGTGATGAGTCCAGGATCACTCCCAAGCTGCGAAGCTGCGCCTTCAGGGGGAGTGTGACCCTGTCAAGCACAGGCTGTAACCCTATGCCCTGTTCGGCCTTTCAACTGACCAGGAGTACCTCTGTCTTTTCAGGATTAAGATAATAATAATAACAATAATAATAATGTATTGTCGAAGGCTTTCATGGCCGGAATCACTGGGTTGTTGTAGGTTTTTTTAGGCTATATGGCCATGTTGTAGAGGCATTTCTCCTGACGTTTTGCCTGCATCTGTGGCAAGCATCCTCAGAGGTAGTGAGGTCCTCACTAACTCTGAGGATGCTTGCCATAGATGCAGGCGAAACGTCAGGAGAGAATGCCTCTAGAACATGGCCATATAGCCCGAAAAAAACCTACAACAACCCAATAATAATAATAGGTCTTTCACATACAGCACAAATAAATACATACAAACCAGATTATTCAATACAACACGAAACACATCATTAAAATGCTATGCAAATCATTAAAAATGCTACCTACATTGATGAGATGCCCCCTTAAACTAATAATAACAACAACAACAACCTGACAATCTATATAAATAAACATGTAATGTTCGTTTGTGGGATTAACAGAACTCAAAAACCACTGGACGAATTGCCACCAAATTTGGACACAAGACACCTAACAACCCAATGTATGTCCTTCACTCATAAAAACACAACAAAACGCAGCAGAAGAGACTTAAAAAGCCCCCAAAAGCTAAATGACGGAAAGCTAAATGACAGTACAGAAAAAAGGGAAGAAAGAGGGAGGGAAGGGGAGAAAAGAAAGAAAGTAAAGAAAGAGGGAGAGAAAAAACAAGGAAAGGGAGAAGGAAGCATGGAAGCAAAGAGAGAAGGAAGGAAGGAAAGAGGTAGAGAAGAAAGAAAGGAAGAAAGAAAGAGAAAGAGGGAGGGAAAGAAAAAGGGGGAAGGACGGAAAGTTAAGAGAAGGAAGGAAGGAGAGAAGGAAATTAAAAAGGAAAAGAAGGAAGGAAAGGGGGAGCGAAGGAAGGGGGGAAGATGAAGAGAAAGAGGGAGGGAAGGAAAGAAGAGGAAAAGAAAAGAGAGACAGCAGAAGAGAAAGAAAAAGGGGAGGGAAGGAAAGAGATAGAGAAGGAAGGAAGAAAAGGAAGAGGAAAGAGGAAGGAAAGAGGGAGTGAAGGAAGGAGGGAAAAAGAAGGAGAGAAAGAGGGAAGGTTGGCCACAGCAACGCGTGGCGGGCACAGCTAGTAATAAATCAAAATGTAATGTTCATTTGTGGGAAAAACAGAACTCAAAAACCAGTGGGCGAATTGACACCAAATTTGGACAGCATACACCTAACAACCCAATGTATGTCCTTCACTCAATTTTTTTTATTTTGTCATTTGGGAGTTGTAGTTCTTGGGATTTATAGTTCACCTACAATCAAAGAGCATTCTGAACTCCACCAATGATGGAATTGAACCAAAGGTGACACACAGGACTCCCATGACCAACAGAAAACACTTCATGTGTTTGGTGGCCATTGGCCTTGAGTTTGGGAGTTGTAGTACACCTACATCCAGAGAGCAGGACCAAACTTGGCACGAATATTCCATATGCCCAACTAGGAATACAGATGGAGCTTGGGGGAAATAGACTTTGACATTTGGGAGTTGTAGTTACTGCGATTTATCGTTCACCTACAATCAAAGAGCATTCTGAACCCCACGAATGATAGAATTAGGGGAGACTTCCCACACAGGAGCCCTATGACCAATAGAAAATACTTATGGCCATTCAGTCAAACTCCCTTCACCAGGGCAAGAAAACGTTATCAAATACTGTTTACCCACAAGCGGAAAGAAATTACATATATTAGAAACCAACACTTTCTCATTACTTTCTCATTACTTTATTTATTTACATTTATATGCCGCCCTTCTCATCCCGAAGGGGACTCATAGCGGCTTACAAGGTATCTATTATATACAATATATTATATTATTAGCACTAGCTGTACCCAGCCACGCATTGCTGTGGCCCATTGCGGAGAAATAGGAAAGAAAGAAAAGAGGAAGAGCTGGTTTCTAAGCTATCAATACACAACCGAAGTGGCAAAGTGGCAACCTAATATAGGCCCATTTCAGTCTCCTCGAGGCCAAAGGGTGTGTGGATGTGTGGAAGGGTTACCCGAGTCCACACTACCACATAACCCAGTTCAAAGATATTATATAGGTATTATTATTATTATTATTATTATTATTGATGTATAGATATTATTATAGGCATGTAGATATTATTATTATAGACACAGATATTATTATTAACGGCATACAGCTATTATTGGGTGTCGTTTTAACGCATGCTCTGTATAGTCATTTAGCTTTGTGGCAGATTAAGTTCTTTCCAGTTAGTTTTGTGTATGTGAAGGACATAGATTGCTTTAGTAGGTGTCTTGTGTTCAAATTTGGTGTCGATTCGTCCAGTGGTTATTGAGTTCTGTTAACCCCACCAACGAATATAACATTTTTTTATATAGATAGTACAATATCAGCATTAAACATTGCTGTATTACACCCTACTACCATATCGTAACATTATTAGTAATATTACATGTAATATAAATATATAACTATAATAATATATTATTATTATAGTTATATATTTATATTACATGTAATTACACCCTACTACTATATCGTAATATTATTAGTAATATTACATGTAATATAAATATATAACTATAATAATATATTATTATAGTTATATATTTATATTACATGTAATATTACCAATAATATTATGATTATGGCCAATATATTATTATTATTATTATTATTATTATTATTATTATTATTATTATATTACATTACATTATAATATTATAAATATTATATGTATGTACAATATATTAAATGATACTATACTATATTATATTATTTGAATAGCACAGGAGACAAGGTGGAAC